CTAATGCATATTCAAGATAAGTGCCTGTCTAAAGGAAATCCTCCCAAGCACCATGGCAGGATGAGGATGTATCCATAGGTTGTACTCCTCTTAGGAGTAGGGGTCACTAAGATAACAAGAGTTGTACATTAAAGGCATTTACTGTACAATGTACATGTATGTTCATATGTATGGTTATGATAAGTCAAACAAGACACAAACTAACGGTTATAGCCACTCCAAACATACAAATATAAAGAAACCGTCTCGCTTCTTGAAGGAAAAGAACAGTCAAGTTATATTATATTTTTGGGAGGCAAATTACCGATGTAACTATCAGTCGTGATATCTATCAACTGTGTGATATTTTCTGACTAAAACGTGAATACAGTGGATGAATGTGAAAACACATTCCTCACTCTAGGAATACCAAATGCATGGCTACTATAGAGAAGTGGCCACCAACACAGGTTTGACTGTAAATGTTTTTTTATTTTTATGTTTTTATTTACTCCTCTTTGACTATTGCCAGTTCTACAGTGCACCTTTAAAGACTTGACCCTCTTCGTTCAGTCAACAAACTTAAACTCTGAAATGCCTGTTTTGGCAAGTCCACCCTGAATGCATGTTTGACTGACAGATTGAACTTGAAGTGGTGACAATTTGCATAACTTCACTTCAGATTTCCCTTTGAATTTCCATTTCAAAACAATCCCCCATGATCCACCCAACTGTGTATGTATAATTTTATGTCAGTATTTAAGGGTACATGTAAGTGTATCATCTCTTTCTATATGTCCAGTATTTGGTATGAGTTAATACTCTTTTTTTTAAAAGTTTTTATTTATGGCGCTATGCCTGACAATGTCTCCCATCTCAGTAATCAGTGTGTTAACTCACTACTGGGAAACTAGAACAACACTCAAATTTGTCTGTCATCTTGGTTTGAAAGTAATCTTTCTAATAGATCTCAATATGTAGTTTATAATAATAATTCCTCTATTTTTTTTCTATAACAAATGGTGTACCACAAGGTTCTATCCTAGGTACTCTATTGTTTTTAATTTACATTAATGATCTTACACATTCTTCTAAAAACGACATTGTTACTATATTATTTGTGACAAGTTCACAAGCACAAATCAGCGCCTTCAAATGCACCTCAAAAAAAAAAATTGGCCCCAAAATTGGGGTGCGCCTTATACACAGAGATTTACGGTAATCGTATTCTTGTGAATACAGTATTTGACATGCATTTCTGCAAGTGATCCTTTGTCAGGAAGTGTATTAAGGTTTGTGGCTACTGTGGTACCTTTATGTTCAAAGCTTGAACTTGTGAATCTTTGTCCCGACCGACCACAATGAGACAGCCGACCATGCAGTCATATCTCAAGCAAACGAAGCCCATGGGAATCGACACTGTACACGTACCATGTCACACTCTTCAACAGCACATTTTGTAATGAGGTTATACCCCCCAATATCCTCCTTTTTTAGGAGGGGGAGAAGGGCTTATGTGAAATTTTAGGGTCTGTATATACATGTATGTATATCATATGCATCAGCCCCGTTTTGAAATGTTATATTTGTACATGTAGTTGCAGGCATTTGTGGTTCCCGTCTGTTAGTGTGTAGAGGCATGCATATGTAGTAATTGGTGGATTGAGGAGGAGGAGGGGGGGGGGGGGGTGGTTTGATGACCAAATCTCTGTTTCTCCCCACAACATCCCCACCAGAATAATGATTGATCACTTATGGTAACTAGCATAAGAGTTATCATACAAAATGTCTTGTACATGTACCCCTCTGAATGTGAAAGGATAACTACTGTACATGTAGAAGTCTACCATTTGACAGTAGAGTCAAGATTTAATAGGCAGATGGGGGAAAGGTGTAATTCAATTTTGTCTCAACGTAGGATGTTAAATGAACCATGTAGGTGGGCACCTCATTGCCCATGATGCAGACGATGGAATAATACAAAAAAAAACGTTGGAGGGAAAGTAATTGCTATTGATTTTCTTAATGGCATAGGCTGAGTATTGAAGGATATGTTAATAAGCTTTGTCTCTCATCTAGTCCTGTACATAACGATAGATGGGGGTATATTCTTTGTTATTTATTTTATTTCTTATAATTGGATTATACAGACATACAATGTACATACATGTATGTAGTAGAAACAATCTGGATGATGACAAGCAGTCCAGAGCAAAAGCTCATGGGTATGTTTTTTATGATTGGCTGAAATATGTTATTTAGTAGACCTACATGTACATGTATATGAAACGACAGACTGTATTGGACAATATTCTGCTTAATTAGTTGCCTGTATTTTTATTTGAGTATGTATTCAGTAACAGTTTTTGTCTCGCCTGCCTGCGTAGCAAAAAGCGAGACATAACTGTAGGCGCCGCTTTTCCGATGACGGCGGCGACGGCGGCGACGGCGGCGTCAACATCAAAAACTTAACCTAAGGTTAAGTTTTTGAATTTTTGATATAATTTTTAAAGTATAAGTTCTTAGTCAATGAAACTTTGACTTTAAGGTAATCAAGTATCCCCAATCATGTGACTAGAATTTCTGATCACAAAATCAAGGTCAAAGGTCATTTCAGGTCAACAGACTTGGACTATGTTGTAGCATCATCATCGAAGACTTAACCTAAGGTTAAGTTTTTGAATTTTTGATATAATTTTGAAAGTATAAGTTCTTAGTCAATGAAACTTGGACTATAAGTCTCCCCAATCATGTGAGTAGAATTTCAGATCACTAAGTTAAGGTCAAAGGTCATTTAAGGTCAACAAACTTAGACTTTGTTGTGGCATCAACATCAAGATTTTCAAAATGCTTCTTCTTCGTTATTTTTCAACCGATTTTGATTCTGATTGTTTCATATGATAGGGCTAGGAGGGGGATTTAAAATATCTACACAGAATCGTGAAATTTATTATCTATGATAATTTATGCAAATTTATTCGAAATAACAAAAAAGGCTTCTTCTCCTTCATTTCTCGACCGATTTTGATTTGGTTTGCTTTATATCGTAGAGCTAACTTTGGTACACTAAACTTCTACACAGAATTTTGAAATTGTTCTCCATTAATTAATTATGGTAATTTATGCAAATTTATTCCAGAAATAACAAAAATTGCTTCTTTTCCCTCATTTCTTGACTGATTTTGATTTGGTTTGCCTTATCTGGTAGAGCTAGATTTGGAACACTAAACTTCTACACAGAATTGTGAGATTTTGCTCCATTGATTATTTATGGTACTTTATGCAAATGAAATGAAATTATGTCCCTTCCAGGGCATCAAATTTTCATTTTTTGACCAGTTCAAAAGTGTACCACATAAAATTTACGATATTTGTTGTTGCGAGATGCGGATGAGCGCTACGTCATTGACATTCTGGTTTATTATATTGAATTGCGTTATGCAGGCGAGACTGCCGAGAGCGTTTCCCTTGTTTGTTATTAGTGATGAGTAAAAATTCATTTGTTTTTAATTACTACTTTGCGAGGGAAATCCAACCTTCATAGTTACATGTAACTACTCAAGAGGAAAGTAGACAAAAACAGAGAAATACACAGTTTGAATGAAATCTGAAAAAATGAGAAAGTTATGAATTTTGAAAGTTGTAATAATAATAATAATAATAACTTTTACTTGTATAGCGCTTTTCATAAGACATTTATATCAAAGCGCTTTACAATATTGATACAACTAAAACTAAACAGAGTAATGACAAGAGAACAAATTTAAAGTGAAATTATGAACCATAAGATAACAAGGTAAGGTAACAATTTAAGAACTAGGTTGAATATGCATTTTCCATTAGGTAGGTTTTTAATTTTGATCTAATCACTATACAGTAGGTACAATGTATGGGCTTTTCATATTGGCTGAACAAACTGCTATTTAGAGATTAAACTCGACTTAGTGATCTCATATTTCAAACATTTGTAACTTTCTTATAAATTGGTCCGATTTATTTCAAACTGTCGTCATTCTGTTCATCCTATTTTTCTGCTTACATACTTATTACATTGGTTGGATTGCCCTTTAACTCAAAGGGCACCTTGCAAGTAATGTATGGGCCGACTATTATGATTTGATATATATGGCAACCATTAGCAGGGACGGTTCATAGTGCAAGGCTCTTTTTAGCCGTTTTTGTAATCACTTGGCTATGTAATATCTTTTTCACTTATAATATATATATCTGTTTTCCTCTTAATTCAATTTTTCATTAAGAATCTGCTACTGTACTGTATTTACAATTAGGCTATTTACAATAGCTGGTAAAAATCTGGACAGGCGAATGCAAGTATAAGCGATTATTAGAATTTTCAAACCGAAGAGGGAATTTCAATTATAATTGATGGTAAAAATCATTATGATTTGGGCACAATATTACATGTACCAGTACCTGTAAAGGCACACAAGCCAATTCTATTTTTTGACTGATACATGCATGTACTGTACATGTAAGTGCCCTTGTACACTTTATTTGGAATAATTATTATTACCCCTCAATACCTCACTACAGGATGAATAGGAACAAAAATCTGACAATGTTTTTTGCTTGATTTTTTTCGAATGGACTAATACAGATCATTTTTATATCATTGTTTTGTGATAAAGAGAAAAATGAAGTGTGAATCAATGTTGGGAGAACATTATTTGAAAACTCTTCCAATTTTTCTTCCTATTCCCCCTTGTCATCCCGATTTATCCTGTTATATGTTACAGGTAGTACTATAATCTATAAGCAGCACGACACTTCACTGATGTATACTGTGAAACCTGTATATTATATGAAGATTGATAGGGAAGCATGAAAAGTGGTCTTAATAGACAGGTGGACTTAATATACAGGTTCCTTCAGTACATGTTTCAGTGAGAAACACATCTCAGGGGAAACAGAAAATGTGGTCTTTATGGACTGGTATCTACAGCAGTTTTCACTGTATTAATAGTTTCTTTTCTTTTCTTTTCTTTTCTTGTGATTTACAGGGAGTAAGATGAGGCAGATGATGAGAGGATGTCATCCAGTGAGGATAAGAACCCTAAGAAGGGCAAACGCTCCTTCATGCCCAAACTCCCATCCTTCCGTCGCAAGAAGAACAACCCCTCCCCGGACCGCACCACCTCATCCAAGTCGTCTACCAAGTCCAAGAAGCAGAGGAATGAAAATTCATCCAACACCAAGACATCCATCCCCAAGGAAACCCAGACACCCAAGGCAGCCCCACCCATATACCAGGACAAGTCCACATCACAGGTGGTAGATTCCTATAACAGATGCTTGACAGAGGTGAAAGAGGAGGAGCAGAATGGGAACAACCAATCAAAAGTCAGGACAGCTCTGTCAAACAGCAACACGACCTCCACCTGCTTTATCAACCCAGAATACGAGGGGGATGTCTGGCACCTCCAGAACCAGAATACTAAGAAAGATGCAGGTAACCATGGCAATGAAGATCGGGAGATCAATGCTAACATCAATCAGAAGAGGCCAGAATCCCCAACCCATATCATCCCCTTAAGTCCTGTAAAAACAAACAGCTATCAGCATATTGCCCGTTGTTCCTCTGTCACCAGTACCTTAAGCTCAGGGTCATCCCTTAGTCTGTCTAGTCCTGGAAGTCTGTCCAAACTCATCGGAGGACCCAAGCCCTACAAGAGCGTGTTCACTGATGAGCCACGAGGGGTCAAACGACAAGGAAGCACACCCTCCGATCTTGACATCACCTCAAGCTGTGTGAGCGTGAGCGGGTCGGCTAGCTCCATCTCTCCTACTATAGACGACGTAGCTACCAAAGTAACAGTCAAATCTTGTAGTGTCCCCGGTCTACATCGGTACCCCCTTGTAGCTCCTGTAGAATCTCTTAGCCCAGGTGTAAGCCCTAAGCACGCCCATTCCAAGAGGGAGGGAGCATATACTTATGATAGCTCAGGCTGGGAGTCTGAAGATAGCTCGAAGGAGAAAACCCTGACAAGAGGAAGCTATGACCTCAACAGTGATGCAGAGAAGGCAGCACAAGATGCGCTGCTGACTCCTCAGAGCCTTGTTAATTTGAACTTTGACCTGCAGGCTGCAGCAGCTGCGTCACCTCAGATCAATGCCAACCTTCGACGTGAGAGGCAGAAAGCGCTGGCAGGCAAAGCAAAAAGTGCGGTCGGGGAGCCGAGTCAGAAACCGGTGACTGAGCGACAGGAAAGCCCTCGTAGTGCAGGAGCAAGGAGAGAGGAAGTGCTAATTTCCCAGCGCTCAACTGCCTCAGCCAGCAGCGGCCCCACAAATAACAACCCAGAATCTGACTCAAGGCATGAGGCATTGGTTCAACCAGCAGGGACCCGTGTTGGCAGTGACAGCTGCTCAACTCGCGCCCAACGACAAAAATCTGCCATCCGCACTCCGCGTACAGCAGCAACACTGATCACTCCACAACACTCCAGTACGCCGTGCTCTCGAACCAACAATGCTGGCCAGACAGCTGGGCAGGATCAAGAGAAGTGCGACGAAGTAGTCCTGACTCGTGTCCGATCAGTCACGAGTCCTGTCCCTCTTAAAACATCGCGAGCTTTGTATGCCCTCTCCCACATTCAACTCTCAGCCATGCGGAACAAGCTGCGGTCAGAGTCATTCGACTCGAGTGACCTGGACTCTTTAGCTTCAGATGATCTCATGTGTGAGGCAGACAATACCTTTCTGGACCCTTCGGACGAGTCTCTTTTGACACAAGGGAACAGTATGCCTGGTGAGCAAGGATTCTCACCGTACCCTAACACTGGCAAAGGGAAACGACTCAGGAATAATAGCATTGAATTCCTTGTGGCCAGCTTTGATAAAAGGTAAAGTATACTTTACAATTAATATAGATTTCATTTTATCTTACTAGCATGACATCTATGTGCAGCATGTTACATTTCTGCTAAATTTATCTCTGTCCCGAGTTAAATGCTGGGAATGAATTCACATAGGCCTACATTTAGCTGATTACAAAACTTTTAGACATTTACCAACCAAAATTTGTTCATTTAAGAATGAGGTATTGAGGATGGGTTATAATGTGTAAGTGAGATATGGAGGGCAGTTGCTTAATTAGCAATCCTCCTTTTATGGATGTTGTTCTTGTACAGTTATCACATAAATTAGATGACTACACATCCTAATGTTTAAATTTCTCATAGTTCCCTTGTTTTAAATCTCTCTTTCAATTCATCCATGTCTGTGGTCCTACCCCCATCAATTGCATCAATATCATTTAGACAGTATCTTTAAATATCAATGTTATGTTTCATCAGGTAAAGTAAGTAGGAAACATGTATTATTCAGTTTATACAGATTGTGAGTACATTTACTTTGATTCTTATCATATCGATCATAATCATATATATGTAGGTCACATTTGCTCTTTTTAAAGAGAAAAAAAATGGTTCCGATATGTCGAAATTAGCAGTTTTGGGTGTTTCTGCGTCCTGTCTCTTTGTCCTAACTTTGACAAGTGAGGTTCCAATCTCAAGGATATCTCCCAAACAATCTTTTCATTTCAATGTTGAGCTTACGGGCAGATTAATGGATGATCTCAGGCCGGGTTGGCAGGCATTCTGCAGTACGTAACCAGCGTTGAGACTGGGATTAACTCATTAAAGACGCGGCACCACCCATGGAGATAAACCATGACCCTATTTTCATGGGTGGAGTGTGAGAGGAACGGTTCTGAGCTGCGAGGTTGAAATTAAACTGCAAACTATATCTCTGATTTTTGTTTTAATGTAGTCCTTCCTATTTGACTGCTATGCATGGTAATAGTGTCAAGAGCTTTTTTTATTTGTGCACATCTTATTCTGTCTTTCATTCATGTTTGTTTTTTAACCCACATGCATTTACTTAAAAACATTATAGAGACTTTTAAGAAATAAAATTACGAGCAATTACCCTATTGTATTGCGTAAAGAAAATCATATTCATGTAAATGTAATATGTCATGCTAGCATATCAATAGATGATGCACATGGCAATTGTAATAGCCCTTTGTTGATTTGTTTGTAAGGTCGTTTTGTGATCAAGTTTCAAGGATATTTGATTCTATGCTGCCCATAGTTGTATTATACAAGGACTAGTCATTCCACCAATGGTGAAATGCCTATACATGTGTGTTGTATTTTTAGCTCATTATATAGCACTAGCAGGACCCGCGGAAATCCGCGGGATCCTAGAGGGGGGCGGGGGGTGTAAATAGATATATAGAGACTGTCTAAATTAAAACCACCAAGAACTTTATTTGCCATTCAGGCCATTAAGAAATATACATGTTAAGCGTCCCCGCCCGCTTCCTTTTTGGGGGCCGCCTCCTATTTTTTTTTTTGAAATTTTTTGAAAATTTTTTTTTTTTTTTTTGAAAGAAAAAAAAACAGCGTCCCCGCCTGCTTCCTTTTTGGGGGCCGCCTCCTATTTTTTTTTATTTTTTTTTATTTATTTATTATTTTTTGAAAGAAAAAAAACATGAAAAGCACTGCTAAAATGTATTTCTGATTTTAAAAAAGAAAAAAAAAATTGTCGGCCGCCATCTTGAAAAATAGCCTGAATGTCAGGAAAAATGTACGGAGCGGCCATTTTGAAAGAAAATAAAAAGAAAAAAAAAGGGCCTCCTCCTTCCCATTTTTTGAAAAAACAGGAAGCTAAACATGTTTTTTTTTTAATTTGGTCTTATATAAAAATAAAAAAAACGATCCAACTGTACCGGTAGTTATTCTTTAAGCCACTGGAACTGCGTAGAGTTCCGTAGTGTGGCGTACCGACTACGCAGAAATTAGGCTGCGTATTAATAGGAAAATAGTCCCTGCATAGGTTATGCGTAGGATGGCGTACAGGTTTGCTTATGGTTGCTTACTGTGTGGAAAGCTTTTACTGCTTAGTCGATCTGGCGTAGGGTAGCGTACTGTTGCGTAAAAAGGCGGACTTTCTGCGTAAAAAGGCGTAATTTCTGCGTCAAGTTTCTACGCCGAAAGTACGCAAAAAAAATTAAACATGTTGAATTGTTTTCGTTCACCTTGCGTACCCCTTTCCGTCCCTCAGCATATAGTAACGTAGGCCAGCGTAGTTGGTACGCAACACTACGCAACTCTACGTATTGACCCCACGCCAATTAGTGACCCGCAAGTGTCACAAATAAAGTATTAAAAATATGCTCATCTGACCCTAATTAAACGCCTAAAACCCCCGAGCTTTCGGGGGTTTATGGCCCCTTGAAACCCGTGGACCCCACGCCTATATTATATATACACTCAACTCGCTGCGATCTGATCTCTCCCCCCCCCCCCCAACTTTGAAAAACGTAACCCCTGAGCTTTTGGGGGTTTATGGCCCCTTGAAACCCGTGGACCCCACGCCTATATTATATATACACTCAACTCAGGACCCGCGGAAATCCGCGGGATTCAAGAGGGGGTGCCCAGCCAAAAAATTAAGTTTTTCATTTCGGGGGCTCCATTTCAAATTTTCGGGAAATTTTCGGGGGCTCTTTTTTCTGGGGCTACTTTTTCATTAATTCATATAAGGATAGGCCTACACTTTGTTGAGATTTGTTTAGTAGGCTATTAGGTTTCAGGCTTCCTACTTCATAATTGCCTATTTAAAAAAAAAAAACATTTTTCTAGTTCAATAACTAAGTTTTCATGCATTGATTTGATGCAAGAACTGTAACATAATAGACCCTAGATCTAGATTGTGATTATTTCTGACCATGAATTTCGATAATCATTTTTCAAAGTAAAATTTTCACAGGAAAATCAAACAGTCTTTTAAAAACGTAGACATTAGAGTCTAGTAATACTTTTACTAATTCTAAGCTCAGGTTTCGTAAATCTATTCACGAAACTATATTGAAATCGCGGCAATAATGATGCAAACCAACAGATAACAATTTCAAAGTGTCAAATCTCTTCGACTCGAATTCAACTCACACACTTTCAACTGCAACTCAGCTCATCTCACACACTACACAGTGGCAATGCGTGTCAGTTACGGTGATTTTGTCTGATTTTCTTTACTTTGAAGAAATGATTATCAAAATTACGTAAACATGGCGAGAACATCACAAAATAGGCTTTAATTTCATACCTCTATTTATGGAAACTTTATAATATTGCAGCAATCGTGAATTCGTGATGGAAATTGATTGCAGTTTCGCGATGTTTAGTGGTTCATGGTCTGGATTCAGCTTCTACCGAAACAAAATCGACCGCCAAAAACTCGAGCCCTACGCTCCGTCTCGATCTCGCAACTGCGAAAATGTACGTGTTTTGGCGTACTTGCGTGCGACATGGTAAGCCAGGTAAGGTATGGAATATGGTTCGAGTTTTTTTTACGACCGATTTTTGTGTATACAATTTTATACGGATAGTCATCGGTCGTGTGTCTACGGATGTTATGTTGAATATCCATGAGGTATCTCTGTCGTCACGCATATCCTGCATTATGCATGTCGCGTCTGTTTTCGCCCTGGACGTCGACACGGAGGAGGACCTCGGGCGGAGTATAGCCAATTCGCTAGAGTAGACTCTCCCGCGGACGACGGCACCGGTCACCGGTACCCCGAGGGCAGGGTTCAGGAGGAGATAGCCGCACCAACTTGGGTCGGCGATCTCATTAAAAAACAATAGAATACAAAGGCCGGCGGAGACGTCATGCCCCCCCGCGGAGCCTTAGCGTATTACTATTATAGATTGTAGGCTATGTCTCACTTTGAGTCTGGAAATGCCACAATGTAAACAAGGGATGGTTGTGGAACTGGAGAAACCTTTTGAACAGGGTATCTTCTTCAAAGTTTGGACTTGTTCCTTGTGAAACCTGGTCCAACCTGGTGTTGATTTGTCAAGACCTGGCCAGAGCCAATTGACACGTCTAGAGGGTTGTGATGTTGAGGAAGGGGTTCTTGACTTTTCAGGACAGGATCTCTGATTTTGATGGTTTATCTTGTCCCCGGGTCAGGAAAGGAAGGTTTGGAGGAAGTAACGAGATGCTATCATTACATGTATCTTCATCAAAGATGACAGGTTATTTGAGATATGGATATATGCCTTTATATGGTCAAGTTCTTGTTGGCTCTCTGCTCTTCACTTTTTAGTATGCCTCACAACTCCACATTTTCTTGTAAATTTTGTAAATTTTATTGATTATATGGTTTACTTTAAAACTGAACTTGTGTACCAATTATTAGGTTTCTTATATTTTTATGCTTGCATCTAAGTCATCTGTGCTTGAGACTTTAGTGCTTCATTATGTCCTCTTCACTTACATGTAGCTCTCCTTCTCTCTCTCTCTCTCTCTCTCTCTCTCTCTCGATGTGGTATTTCATATAAATGCAGTTCATTCATAAACTTATCTGCCGATACTGTATGTCATGAACGATTCATGTCAATACTTTCTTTTGGCGCTTGATATCACTCATCTACATTTACATCTCGTCTACGAATTTGAAATTCCACCCGATAACACACTCTATTCTCAAAATATATCCTGCACAGAAAGCATCGTAGATTCAATGAATAACAAAATTAAAATGGTCTGCCAGTTATATATCAGTAACAATATAAAGAGCCCTTTTAAAGTTCATAAATTAAGCAAACGGTGTGCAGCAATTTGTTGTTGCTTTTTCAAGATTTTTGTATTTCTCAACTCAAATATTACATAGTAGCACATGCATAAACAATACATAAAATTAAAATGCATTCAAAACAGTTTTAAAACACTTTATAAAATACATGTATATCATTTTCCTTATAGTTCCTTATAAAACTTGCAGCAATTTTGCCATCTGAACTCAGCATTGTACAGGAACTAATTGTCA